GAACCTTCCTGCCAAGCGTCGTTCCGAAACGGTCAGAATCCATAAATAAATTAGAACGAAACTAGAACTCCATAAATGAGAACAAAAAACTGCGGATCCTTATTAAACGTATAGCGTGCACGCATATAGATGACAGGTAAGCTGCAAGTGTAATCGACAAATTTGTATTCCTTCGTGTTTTGCTCCGTAAAACATTCGATAAACTGCGCCCACAACGTATCTGTTCACCAACCTGCAATGTGCTTAGAGGAGATCCTTTGCCGTCAAGCTTGGACACTGCTCCTGGAGTTGCAGGCTTACACGCACTGTCAGGCCCTGACTGGTGCCCACTATTTTCTTGCAAGGACATTGTCAATGAGAGGTCACAAACTAGCGCCATACACATTGGCCGTCGCCATTACTGTGTGTACCGGTTCCAAGAAGATCTCGCGATTCGGGCTCGCGCCTGTCGTGGCTGAGCTGGATCCTGCTGTTGATCCGAAGCCTGTGGTCATAGATTTCGTGGCTTCGGCACACCTACCTGGTAGCGGGTCTGCACCAATTTTGAAGCGGTAGGTGACAGCGCTTTTTTCCAAGTCGTGCAAGACAGTTTCTACCACACCAGTTAGAGCGGGCCTCTTCGGTAGGTACCTGTCGGTGGTTTTGCGCAAAACACTGTTTGTCCCTTCGTGCTTCAGGTGGAAAAAATTTACGCATGCCTATGCAGTTTGGCACAGCAACTCCGCATAATTTTAACAAATGACCAGTTAAAACTCTTGGTCGCAAAAATGTCAAGTGGTTTGCACTACTCACGTCCAAGTATCGATACGTCGTTTAAGCCCTTTTTACCTTTTTCTTCGCCTCACTTTACCCGATTTGTTAGTGCACATCCCCTGATGGCAGTTGCTGAAACCGGCAAAAAGGAGTGTTTGTTGCGTGATCCCTGAACCCTACCGATCAATAGTAAATTTTCAAGTCAACGACAGAATTTGGTAGCGGAGATTTATCGTGCTCGATGCGGTCCGCTCTTCCGCTCCGGCTCATTGCCAGAATGAACGAGATGATGTCATTTTAGAACAGTTGATTATCTCGCCTCATGTTGCGCTCCAGATAAACTTTATTTAATAGTTATCAATGTGCTGCGAAGACGGAGCGCACAGCATTACCACGTACGTGACTCGTGAAGGACGATAGGTACTGTCTATCGATAGACACGCGTTCGTCATTTATATATAGTTTCGGAATTCTGGAAGAATGTCTAAGTGACCAGTATTAAGATTAAAATGAGTGGTATATATAATAAAATGAAACTGAGCCGATCGTGCCCGGTCACCTGTACCTGCTGGCCGCCTCACGGCCTGCAGCCGCATGGGGTCCGTCAAGGTTCAAATTCAATTTGCTAGTGATCCAGAAGAACTTTGATCGATATCCTTTTTTTAGTCTTGACGTAAATAAATTGTTCCTCCAATACATGCCGGCTTAGGTAAAATAAAAGGCGCAATACATTTTATAAATTTCGGCCCAAGGTTCAAACTAATTCACTATATGAACCTGACTAAAGTTGAATGATATATGTATGTGACATGATGTAATGAATGAAAGTTGAAATGATATTTGGCAAATGTTTTAGAAGGTACAAGTATTTCGCCTTCCGATACGCGTTTCCCAAGCAATGCACATCGCAAATTTTTTTTTTCTAGAGCAAGATTTAAAACAAGGTTCGTGACTCTATCGCGTATTTTCATCTGATTCTATGTCCTTATCAGCATCTCTTCAGCTCGCGCAGCCCTGAAATTGTCAGAACCGTGTTTTGGTCGTGTACTTAGCCTTACAGATACGTTCTTATCAAATTTGAAGGGGTGCCGCGTTGAAGTGCACCAATTTGCATTTGGTTTGTCGTGGAATAACCCATTAACTGATAAGTACCCATCGATGCATTTTACATTGTCAGGACTATCAGTACCGTTTTTCTTAACGTCATATCAGGCGCTTGATTCAGCAGATGGAAGAAGGCGTATATTCACCGGTTTCATCCCACTCACCTTGCTTGGTTTTTATAGGCATTTCCCACCGATATTGAATGGCATTAACCTGGCGCAATGTCACGCGAACTGTCCAGTGCTGCTCCCCGCTTAGCTCCAGCATGACTGCAGTCTCTGAGCATTCAGCCTGTGAAGCCCCTCATCGGGCGAAAGGTCCCCGGCGAGGATTACAAAGCAAGAAATGCTCAACGCTTGGTGCTCTCCTATGCAATCACCATTTTCACCAGCAGACATATATTCTTTATTGGGGTGGTTGGTAAGTCTACTGAGCCGCAAAGGAGTAACGCTACGAGCATGTCCACACCGAAGCACATCATCTCATTCCTTCGCCGTGTCGTATCGCCGTCAAATCGGGTTGGATCGCCATGCCTCCGCCAGTCGCCGTGAACGCCGCCCGGATGCCGCACCACGCTGCTCCAGTGTGATTCGTCGACCAGCTCCGCTCGCTCTGGCCAGCTGTGTGTTTCTGGCGTCGACCACCCTTTACAAGCTGAGCGCTAAACCATAGGAAAACAGCTACACACACCACAGATCAGGAGACCATGGGGGAGGGGGGGGGGGTCGACGGGGGGGGGGGGGGTCCTGCGAGCGCTGCGCGTTGCACTCACGTAGCACGTGTCTGGCAGACGAAAGGATATCTTTCCAAGTGCGCTCTGACGCTCCATGTTCCATCCGTGTCCCGGAGGGCCACGTGGGTCTCCGGGTAAACTGACGTGTTGAGGCTCGGCTGACCGGCACCCCAGTTGGTGAAGTTCAGAGGCCGCCCATTCACCCAGCGGTACTCGTTGTCGGCGAACTGCCGGTTATGCCACAGCCCGATGTACGTGAACTGGCGACCGTGGGACTGGGCGAGCTGTTGGATGAAGTTGTTGTTCCGCCTCTTCCGGACGGACGACAGCAGGGCGGCGGGCGTCAGGGTGGCGCAGTAGGCCCTGGCCTCCGGCCAGCTGAGCGGGCTGTCCACGTACATGTAGACGGAGCCGCGGCGGTGGATCCAGCAGGCCTCGCTGAACAGGCGGCAGGCGTCCGCCTCCGCCGAGCCGTCGCACGTGACGGCCGCGCAGCGCGGCTCGAGCGCGCAGCGGACGGCGCAGTGGGCACTGCTGCCGGCCGGCGCCCAGCCGAGCAGCCTGTGGCGGAGGCCGGGCCTGTCGAGCAGCGGTACCTGGCGCGTCCCGGCCGTCACCAGCAGCGCAGCCAGGCGGAGCGCACGCAGCGCGCGGCACCGCATGCTGAGGGGAGGTACGGGTGCGGGTCCGGCACGCCGCCTCTGCCGCCTCGGACTGGCACAGTGCCGGTCACGGTGAGGGAACGGCACCTCGGTCTGCGCCGCGTCGCTTCGTGTGTGGTTGTGGGCGCGTATGTCTTGCTTTTTCGGACGTACGAGGCGGACGGGCTAAGCACGGGCCTTTGCGGGCAAGGTGGCCTTGTCCCATAGCACAGGTGCTGTGGAAATGGGCCATGGAGTTTCTAAGAATGGTGTTTCCTTTGTTTCATTCGGGCCAGTAAGCTGCTAGAACGTCTGAGCGATTAGCGCTGATTGCGAAGCTTTTGTAACAGCTGCTTTCATGAAACTTCGCCACTGACCGCCGCTCGTTAATCAGCGACCTGCCGCGTACCGTGCCCTTATGGTATCAATGGAAGACCGAACAATGACCAAGGTTGGATGCCTTTCTGCTCCAACTGCGGTTGCAGGCATGGAAAACGTCTCATAATTTGTCTCTGTTACTGTGACCTTACTTTGTCACGCATTTGTTTTTTCAGGCTTTCTGATCCTCTTCAGAACATGATATTGCCGAATGTAATGTGTACACTGTGCTAGCGGCCGATGTGCCTTTATTTCCGACTGCAGGATTACCCGCGGCACCACACCATTGCTACTCAAGTCGCTATTATCGTCAATATCATTGTTGTTCACGTCACTATTATGCGTCACTATCGTTGTTGCTCGCGTCACTATTATGCGTCACTATTTTTGTGGCTCGCGTCACTATTATGCGCCACTATTATTGTTGCTCACGTCACCATTACGCGTCACTATTATCGTCGTTCACATCACTATTATCCGTCACTTTTGTTGTTATTCACATCCCTACACGCATTGTTGACGTTACCACGCGTAGGGGGAGCTATTTGACCATCCATCCCGAAGTTTTTCCAGAAAAACGTCCGAAGAGCGCTGCTATGCCACGCTAAATTTTGCGCCATTGCAGGCAATTAAAAAATCAATCTCTTAAAAGAGATGTGACAGTAGTAATAGCCTAATTCCTCGGAGAAAGCCAGAAGAATGGAGATAAAGATGCGTTAATGTTTCGGCAACATGCCTTTATCGAAACGGATAGCAGGACCACTTTCTCTATTCATTTCAACAAAGACATGTTGCCAAAATATCAGCACAACTATATCTCCATTCTTCTGGTTTTTCTTCGAAGAAAAAGGCTATTCATATTGTCTTATCTATGCGCGTAATGTTCTTAGCAAATGCACTTGACAACTTGCGTAATCTTGAGAAATATCAAAATTGCATGCAACTTGTAAAGTCTCCGACTTATGGCAAGCCAAAGTTCGACCATGGATGTCAGCGAAGGCACTTCCAAGGAAACTAGTCAATATAATGCGACAACGAAATGTTGGACGACGCCATGCATCTGCCATAAGCCAAACAACCATACGTAAGAATTACTTGCACTGCATTCTCATGGGACGCTCAGGCATGAACATATCCACCGTGCGTAAAAGTGCGGATGTGCGCGAGCAGGTGAAAACACGGCGCAACCTGTCGCCACACAGACGTCTGAAAGCGATAACCTTGAAACTGTGTAATTACAAGTCGATTAAGCAAGCGGTGGCCTCCGATTACTCAGATAAGACTGCTGAGGCCTCGTGCATGTCAGTCTCTCCTTCTGCCTCGAGAACTATGACAAGTGGATGATTCAGAAGCGGCCAGTGTCAGTTTAATGCTGTGGGGCAAAGGGACCATTCCTGGTTCATGCTATATTTCTCGCAATATACGTGGTACACCTCGCATGATCGACAGCACTACGCTGCCCGTAACACAAACAAAGCTTACATTCACGCAGGTAATAAGTTAAGCCGCCAAGTCATCGTCAGCCCTACATTATTTACGAAAGCTGCAAGATAGGTAGCATCACGGCGGATGCCCCTACACGCGTGTATGGAAGACACATGTTGGGCGCCCATGACAAGTCCCATGGGGATACATTTACACTTGTAGGCCCGGTAAGCGTCTGGGAATTACGACATGACTCTCGCTCTGTCACCGCGTGTGATCCTGCGTAGCAAAGGATCACGGCGCTACGATGCTTTTTTCCTGGCTTTGCTATGCTTTCCTGGACTGCTGGATACTTTGCCAGGCAGATGACAGTTTCGAACAGAGTGCACCAAGCGAGCGCCACACGGCACCGGGTGTGGTAACCTAGCCAATACCCGCGCTACGAGGTGGCGACGGTTTCACCAGTACATAAATTAGCCCAAACCCTCAATCTTACAAAAACTTGGTCGCTATGCTGGTTCATGCTGGAGGATTAGTCACGACAATCACGCATGACTACAGAGCACTCCCATCACGGCCACTTGCCGCGCTTGCACTCAGGCTACGCAAACTAAGTCACTTGAGCAATTCGCTTATCAAATCGCAATGGAAGTGCACGAACACCGGGAAAAACACGGATAAGAATACATCGAACGAGCAAAAGAGGCACGAGAGCTTAATCCTGGGCTGAAAAACATTCCTTGAAAGCTCAGTCTGGTTAGCAACCATTCACATTAGATCATTGACCCAACGTTGGCCTAAGCTTCAACATTGTTGAAAAGGTCGCCTGTCAAAATGGTTCAGATCCTAGACTGCCTTATAATCATGTTTTCATAGTGCGGAATAACTTGACCACCGGCTGCCAGCAAATAATCACATTCACACGATAAAAACAGACATCAGTACGGCTGTTGAGCATTAGAACAAACCGCGTCCTTCTGGACGTAAAGCTCCAGGCATCTGCACGTTTATCGACAGGTTTGGTCCATGTTTCCGAAACTGTAGCGCAATGTCTGCCGCCATCGGCTGTCGGGACATGTCAAACGAGGGCGTCGGAGCCAAGCGCTTTCTTCATGTTTCCAGCCTAGTAAAATACGGACTATTGCTGCACAGTAAAGTAGGATAAACCGCTGTCTGTTTATAACGCTAACAAATCTTTGGTAGATATTTACTTGCTACAGCACCATTTCGAAGACGGCAGGTCGCAAAGGCTTCTTCAGACAGGCACCATCGGCCATCGGCAAACGACGGCAGGCAGGAGATATATCACAGGTCGGGTTGAGGTTGGCGCTCCACAAGACAGCCTGGACCCAGAGCTGGTGTTCTTCAAAACACCGAGAACGATTCGGTGATTGACAGTCATTCCCCGGTCATTCTCACTCCAACGCCGCCGCCAGAACCAGTGCCGTCCAAGGCATGGCTGGCAGTACCGACTTCTCCGCGAGTCTGGCTGGCCGCTCCAGCTCCGCTCGGCGTTTCGTTGGCAGCATCAGCATCGCTCAGGGTTTATGTGAGGGCGCCAAGTTTGCTCATACGTCCGTTGGCAGCACCAGCATCGCTCAGGGCTTATGTGGGGGCGCCAGCTCCACTCAGGCGCCCGTTGACGGCACTAGCATCGCTCAGCGTTTATGTGAGGGCGCTAGCTCCGCCCAGGCGTCCGTTGGCAGCACTAGCATCGCTTAGAGTTTGTTCGCTCGTAGTTCGCTCAGGTTCGCTCAGGGCTCATTGGCAGCTCTGATATCGCTCCAGCTTCGGCGCCCAACGGACGTTCAGGGTTCAGTCGGCAGCACCAGCTCCTCGTCCTCGGAGCTGTTTTCGTAGCCGTCGTTGTGACGGGCGGCGGCCGGGTGCCCGTTCCTCTGCAGAAAGGCTCCCTGCAGGCTACTCACGCCCGACGCGTTCGAACTGCGGTGACGGGGCTGCGGCACAAGGGACGGAGCACGCTCAGTGGGAGGGTGGTCACAGGGGTGCTGCGGCACACGGGACGGGAGCACGCTCAGTGGGAGGGTGGTCACAAGGGTGCTGCGGCACACGGGACAGAGCACGCTGAGTGGACGGGGAGTCATAAGGGTGCTGCGGCACACGGGACGGAGCACGCTCAGTGGGAGGGTGGTCACAGGGGTGCTGCGGCACACGGGACGGGACACGCTCAGTGGAAGGGTGGCCACAAGGGTGCTGCGGCACACGGGACAGGGCACGCTTAGTGGGAGGGTGGTCACAAGGGTGCTGCGGCACACGGGACGGGGCACGCTGAGTGGACGGGGGGTCATAAGGGTGCTGCGGCACACGGGACAGAGCACGCTCAGTGGAAGGGTGAGCACAGTGCCGTTCAGCAGTACTGGCGTCTGTCACTAGAAACGCCCATAATAGTTTTGCACAGATTTGCTGCTCACAGATGTGCGCAGCAAAACCCTCTCCGCACCTTTTTATTGAAGTCGTTGTGTGCACCGAGCGTCTCCATCCGCTTTCTCCTGCGCTCCTGCATAACTGAGTTCTTGCGCTGCTCCAGGGCTCGCAGCGCGTCCGCACGCATACTCATCTTCCGCATGTTCCCCAGGATCGGTGTGGCTGTGGGGTCATACGAAGCTCAGCACAATCACAGATGGATCTGGTATCCGGCAGCATCCACACCCGGTCCAGTTTGTAAAACATTGAAGGCGCGTGTCCTGTCTGAGTCATGTCGTCGCTGCAGATACAAAACGGGGCTGCATTAAATATTTACTACTATCAAGGAGCATAGAGGTGTGCCAAGTGTACAGATCAGCAACCAGTTGTACGTAGCATATCACCACATAACATAGCATGAGCCCCATCGTTCACCGCATGTCAAGCACGCATCGTCCGCGCTCGCTGCACGTTCAGCACTCACCCTCGGCTGTCTGGCTGCTCAGCTGCTGGAAGCGCTTTCTGAAGGCGACGTCGAGCGTGCCAATCGGCTGCCGCTTCTGCTGCTGGTTCACCAGGTTCTGAATGGTGCGCCGGCGCGCCAACCGGTTCTCGCCTTCGTACGATTCGGCGCGGTCGTCCCGCAGCCTCTGCATGTTCTTCACGATCTCTACAGCGTTCTTGCGCAGCATCTCCTCCGGCGTGTCCTTGTTCTGCGGGCGTCAAAATGGCGTTGTCAGGCGACACGTCAGCGGCGTCAAAATGGCTTTGCCTGGCAGTCTGTTAATTTATCTTACGACGCATATAACTACTAAGATCATTATTATTGTCAAAAAGAGTGGCTGCAACTCTCGACGGCTTAGCGTAGGCTGCCCACACGGCATTTTTGAAAACACGGAATGTAAGCTGTGTACCACCAGAAAAGCAAGAAATGTTGAAAGGAGAGTAGGAACGCGTCAAGAATTAAATGACCCAAGGCCCCATGAAAGTAAAAAATATTTCATGGAGCTACATCTCAGATTATTATATGTAGCCCCATGAAATTTACGTTACACTAGCGTCCTTACATCTAACGGCGAGTGTGAGGGCTATGCTCTGCATAGCATCCAGTCTTTCTTCGCCGAATATCGAAACACTCCTCCTTCGGATTGATGCCTTTTCGACGTTTTGAAATCAGTAATGCTTTGCCTAAGCGACGAAAAGGCTACTCCTGTTACGTTGTATTCATGTGCGTAATCACAATGCAAATCTTCAGCAGTGGTACCCAACCACAACACTAAATCGAATCATAATCTTTCATCAAACACGTGACAAGTTCAGAAAGTTTGGAAGTTGTTTTCCATACGTTCTCGCACCGTATCCGCTCCCGTTCCTGCCCCAAATCGTACGTGTTGTCTTCTCACATGCTCCTTTATTTGCAAATGCAGTTGAAGCCATTCCTGCTGCTAGTGAGAACACTGAGCACCCTGCGCCAACATGTGTGTGACCCCAGAGAAGTTCACATACCTCCGTATTGCAGCAGCTGGTGAGCTCGCAAGACGATAGAATGTGAGACAGAGTCACAAAGCGATGGAACAACATGGCGATGAACTGGATGAGCAGGATGAGGGCGAAGAAAAAGACGAAGACGAGACCGATCGGCTCCATCTGCAGGTACTCCTTGTTGATGAGCACCTGACAACAGACCCAAGGATGGTGATATATATGTGCCTGATGTGCGCCGGATGGTTGTAGAATTACGTATTCATGAGAACAAAAAGAAAGATGATGTAAAGATGCTGCTCCGCGTTGTCCAGTACAATCGTAGCATAATCACATATCTACTTATTTACGTAATCATTGTACGTGGTTGAGCCAGTACACAAAGGTAGGACTAATCTCAGACCTCCATCAAAGACAAATTTTGCTGAGTGACGTCATAAGCGCAGGCCCTAAAGGCATGGGCAGGCACATTTGCTTGGTTAAGCAGGTGACACAATCATTACATCATGTACGCAGCTCGAAAAGCAAGCATTCGCTGCCCATGATTGTTCGCGATTCCAGGAAGGAACAAGTGGTAGAATTGACGTGCCCTGCACCTGAGGCTTTTATAGTTGCGTGCAAATAACGAATGCATAATTTCTAGCCCTTTAATTGGTTGGAATCCTGGGCGAAAGGCATGTTGAAATACACGATGATTTTGGTGCGCTCAGCCCAACATTGCAATACAGGACGCATACGGTCATATTTGCATCGACCAGAAATGGGCTTGCCAGCAAAAAAAAAAGAAAGAAGAAAAAAGCACATCCTAGCACTTCGAGAAACTCTTTAAATTCATGAGTTGCATGCTCGTACTTGAAGAACAAAGCTCAAGAATTATGTTTGCATGTACTCCCAACACCGCATCATTTCTGAAGGCCCTTCCAGCACGCTAAGGAACACAGCGGCTCCTGGTTGAGGTGTGGTGCTAGCGCGGAACGCGTCAGCTGCCGTACCTGTCCCGTCTCCTCGATCAGCGTGATGTTGTACTTCACGCCCAGCGGCCAGTCCACGTGGATGTTATCCTTGTTCAGCTGCAGTAGGAACACGATCAGGATGAACAGCGCGTTGCACATGAAGAAGATAAAGACGGACTGGTTTCTCAGTTCGGCCAGCTCCTGAGCGATTCGTTTCTGAAACAGAACACAGCATGTCAGCGGGAGTGAGAAGGCGTAAAGCATCGTCACCGTCGAAGGCAGACTGGACTGCAGCCTTAAAATCGGGACTGAACAGGTGCCGTCCGCTACATTTCTGCTGCTATTCATTTTTGCATGTAAAAAATTGCTACCAGCCATATCTGACACGATATATACATAAATGTATAATATATATATATATATATATATATATATATATATATATATACAAATGTACATATTCCTAACCGTTCCGACCGTCCTGGCAGCCCACCTTCTCCTCCTGGTTCTCGTCCAGAGGCCAGAGGTACTGGGAGATCAAGTCCTGCCAAAACTGGATCTCGTTCGGCGGCAGGTACTCCACCTTGCCCTTTCGTAGCGCCTTGTCCTCGATCCAAAGTGGGTTCTTCAGCTGATCTCGCTTCTCCCTCGGTTCTGCGAGGTTGGGGCGGTTAGATAAGGACGGATGAGTCCGTAACGCAAGAGTGAGTGGAGTGACGTCATCTGCACAAGTTAATGACGTCATCTGCACACAGTTCGCCCAAGGCATCAGCTGACAATCGGTGCTGCATGTCATGCAGACAGACACAACCGATGTTACCGCCGGAGCGACGACCTGCTGACGTATCACTGCTGGCGTTAAGGCAGCTTTCATCTGGCGTTCTGCCACTGGTGTCCGAGCGGTCTTTTCCTGTACACATCACTGGTGGTTTGAGTGCAGTCCTAACCTGACGTATCGCTGTTGGTGTGAGTACAGTCCTAACCTGACGTGTCGCTGTTGGTGTGAGTGCAGTCCTCACCTGACGTGTCGCTGTTGGTGTGAGTGCAGTCCTCACCTGACGTATCGCTGTTGGTGTGAGTACAGTCCTCACCTGACGTGTCGCTGTTAGTGTGAGTGCAGTCCTCACCTGACGTGTCGCTGTTGGTGTGAGTGCAGTCCTCACCTGACGTGTCGCTGCTGTGTGTGGGTGTGTACAGTCAGTCCTCACCTGACGTGTCGCTGTTGGTGTGAGTGCAGTCCTCACCTGACGTGTCGCTGCTGTGGGTGCAGTCCTCACCTGACGTGTCGCTGTTGGTGTGAGTGCAGTCCTCACCTGACGTGTCGCTGCTGGTGTGGGTGCAGTCCTCACCTGACGTGTCGCTGTTGGTGTGAGTACAGTTCTCACCTGACGTGTCGCTGCTGGTGTGGGTGCAGTCCTCACCTGACGTGTCGCTGCTGGTGTGCGTGCAGTCCTCACCTGACGTGTCGCTGCTGGTGTGAGTGCAGTCCTCACCTGACGTGTCGCTGCTGGTGTGGGTGCAGTCCTCACCTGACGTGTCGCTGTTGGTGTGAGTACAGTTCTCACCTGACGTGTCGCTGCTGGTGTGGGTGCAGTCCTCACCTGACGTGTCGCTGTTGGTGTCGCCTGTGTCGGAGCAGGCAGAGCGGTCCTCCTTGACGGTGCTGATGAGGCCTCCATGATTCGAGCTGCGGCTGAAGCTGCATCGTCGCCCGTGGTGGTGGCCCCTGGAGACGCATAACCATTTATTCATATTCAGTCATTCATTCAAGCTCATTCAAACATTGTACATTCAGCATTAACTTTCAAATGACTGCAAACCGGCAGAGGAATAAACATTCATCGGGTAAGAAAGGATGCGCAAACGACCAGATTGTTTCAACGAGCACAAGCCAGTCATTGTACTCTGCTTACTAGCTGGCTTGCTTACTATCTTGTGTAGAAGGCAATCGCATATAGTGCGCTGATGCTCTTAAAATCTTTGAATCTGGTAGACTCGGATTTTTTTGTATTGTTGAATGGCTCAAAGGGAGCCAACAAACGGAGCCTTTCAACACTTGGTCTTCTCTGACATCCAGTATTTCAAAATTTAAAATGGCGCAATTAGGAATGCAAAAAGAATGATACACTATTTTTGTGACGTCGCGTCTGCGATGGATTCATGCATTGCAAAACAGTGTCTCTGTAAATGAACCTTTTAATGTGGCGTATACATTTGATATTTGTATGAACCGAAACGACACGTTGCGTAACGGAATGTGTTCTGAATCTCAGACTGAGTATTCCAAAGTATACATAATCCGTTTCGGTGTCAGTCGCGAATACAGAAATATGCCGTTGGTGGATACTGCGGGTCAATTCTTCTCATTTATTTACTTACCTTACTTGCCAATCACTGCATAAACTAAACACAGTCATGCTATCGACAAGTAAACGACTTCGAAACGTTAATGTAGAAGAGCACAACATTCAGTTGCGCTTGGCGCTGCCGAATGTATGGATGCCAAATAAGGGGTCAGTTGGAAAGTCATTCAATGTCTCTTGCCAAGACAGTTTGAGACGGTATACGCAGACCAGTTACCAGAACGGAACGCATAACACTCTCTCTCTTTAACACTCTCTTTTTCCAAATTCATCCCATGTTAGGTTTTGTTTGACGTAAAAAGTGACGGCTCAGTACTGAAGAGATTACCGTAAGAAACACTGGGATGGGCGCCACAGCGTGGTGTCCAAAAATTCGCTCTTCATCTATATTGCCAGCCAACGCTTTTGTTCGTTTGGGAAACCAGAAGTCCGGGTTTCCATATTCGGCGGTGCCCGCCCCTCCTATCAGGGTGAGAAGCAGGCGACGCCATATAGCCTCAGCAGCTGAGTGCGCCGTAAAGCCTCGATGATTCACTTTTCATACCCAGATGTTTCTCAGAAATATTGTCACTGGCGATATGCATAATGCTAGCGGCCATAAAATAAGGTAACCACAACCACATTGTCAAACGACTGCTCTCCAAAGATAATCCGTAGGAGCTATTCCTGATCCATCTGTCTGGCGTCGCCTCTACAGTAGAACCATTTGCGAAGTTTATTTCCCGCAAGATCATCTCACGACGAAAATACACAAACGGATCAGTGTGATCCGGCTGTTCATCGGGGACCCGTGAGCGCATCAAACGAAACCCCTGCCGCTCGATGTCATCATTGCGCGCTGGCCCGTAATTTACTCGCCGACTTTTCGCCCCAGCAAATTCTAGGTGAGCAATTCAGCCAGCCACTGCCTTTCAAAAACCCACTGACTACGCCACCGATTTTTCCAGGTAAGTGCTTCATCGCCTCAGTCGTTGTTAACTTAACTTTTTTGCCTGATAGATTATTGCACCCCTTTCTCCAGATATTTGTCTGTCAAGGCATCCCGTTCACCTTGCTTCCCAGTGAGGAACTCACCCCTCCACCAGGTCCATGCGCCGGTTGAGCGCGTCCAGCGAGTCAGCGATGCGTTTCAGCTGCTCGCGCTCATCAATCTGCTTCGGGTAGGTGCAGCACATGATGCGGAACAGGTTGGCAAAGTTGAACTCGATCGACCCGTCCTGGTCTGCGGATTTCGTGCTGTAGAGGTAGCCGAGGATGCCGTCCGGGCGCTTCTTGGCCTCCTCCAAAGCCTTTCTTTCCTCCTCCAGCTCCTACCAACGGCCAGTTAGATATGTCACCACGTCTCTGCAAATCAAGTACGGCAAGCATGTTTCAGAGATGCCGTGGAATTCACACGCTCACGCTTCAGGAAGTGAGAACGCCCAGTAAGAAACTGAACTTTAGATTATGGCCTTGCACTAATTTGTGTAAGCATTAATTAGTTTGCGCTAAGGGCTATAGCGTACGCGACCCGTTGTTCCTTTGTTCGCCTTACCTTCTTGGTCTTCTTGGCGAGGACCTCACGAGTACCCCATGTGACGTTGTTTAGGTTAGTTAGGGAGTACAGGATCAGCAGCAGGTACATGGACGGGATGGAGAGCAGGTAGATGAAGCCAGGGAAAATGCACTTGAACTCCTGCGGATGGAGGACGGCCGCTATGACCATGGACAGGATAGTGGCGATGAGGAAGATGAAGGAAGGCGATCCAGGCCCGTCCTCGTACAGCTGGAGCGTCGTGCCCACTATCACAGCCATCATGATAAGGGCATACGCCGCAGACAGGATCTGGGCCACCAGCAGCTGCACAAAACAGGTTTCTTGCTCAGCACACTGGCCATAGTCAACATGTATAGTCTGCTTGGTCCAGAACAAAGTGAAAACTTGATATTACAATGGAAGGCCTTTAGGTCGTGTCTGAGCTGCTAAGAGGTGTAAAAAAGTGTCTCCACTCGTCGTAACGACCAAAAATAGCAAACAGCTGTTGACATAAAAATCACTACACTCTACTCGCTCAGATCTCTACATTCTACTCAGCATATCGCCACGCCCTACAGTTATTGTAGGTCTGAGCGATGGACACTTCATTCGCCGCAGCGTTATAAGGGGTGCCGGTAGCGTAGTGGTTAACGCGTCTGCGTTAACCACTCCGCGTCTGGGAAACAGAGGTACGGAGTTCGATTCCCCGCGGTGCCCGCCCTTTCCTGCCAGGGTGAGAGGTAGGCGACGCCATACAGCTTCGGCAGTAGAGTGCGTCGAAAAGCCCCAATGACATACACACACACGCAGCGCTATGAGCTGCAGAGTCATGTCCCCTGCATAATGTAGCCTTGTATGATAAGACTGATGATATCAGGGTTAGCTGACATGACTGAATCAAATACGTTGTGTGGAAGTAATGAACCGTCTAAGCCTGTAGCTGGGCTGCCCTCATATTCGTGTTACCTGATATCGGTAAGAGAGGCTTGCAGCTTTTTTGTTTTCCGGCATTATGAGTAAAAAATTATTGTGCTGAGTTGGGGACATTTAACATGCTAGGAGGTATTATTAAAAGACGTTGTAATCCTAAACGATTACATTAATAAAAAGTTTGCTTATGGCGATTCTTGGGGATAAATACAGCTCATAATATTCGGTACCGCCAACAAAATCGCTATGTAGCATTACGTCATTAAACCAGGACCCTGTGGTATGATGAAGGTCAGTAACTCAACATGAGACCCTCCAACTCATGATTCGTATTGCTGCCAGTATTGTAACACTGACAGCAAGCTCGGTTACACACAACGAATACGCTATGAGTCTTCACCACCCATGCTGACTTAACACTGCACCTGGATGTTGGACTTCATGGTGAAGCAGACCAGCATGAACACCAAAATGGGGTAAATGTTGTACTGGAACGATGTCCAGTTGTCGATGCGGAAGGCTGCCACGAACGCTCCCACCAACATGAGGAAGATTGTTCCCGGCCCCAGAATGGTGCCTGCCATCAGGAATGACTGAAAAATGGCCGACATTGTCTCTGAGAGGTGCGGCATGTGGTTGCTGAACGTGCAACAGACCATACGAATTTTAACGCAATTGCACATGCTGACTGAATTCTTGTCGACGTCCAAACCTTCTCAACCTGAAACATCTTGATACAGCTCAAGAAAGGCACATAGGGCACACAGATCAACACGGTGTTAAATGACAATATAGCTTTAGAAGTTGTCAGTAGGCGCAACCACTATCATGTATATCTGCCTCTGGAACCTCATCGCACCTGGTACATGATGTACGGCATGGAGATGTTGTCGTTGATCTTGATGGTGTTTCTGTAGTCCATGAGCAGGTCCATGATGTTGGCGATCGTGGAGGGCACCCAGCGGCGGCGCTGGTTGTAGAACTCGCTGAAGCCCTCCGGACAGTGGGTGTAGGCGTCGGAGGCGGCCGAATAGTCCACCCGGTAGCCTCTCTGCAGTAGGAGGGTGCACAGCCAGCGGTCTTCGCCCTGATCGTACTGCACGTAGTGCCGTGCCTGGTGCGACGTCAGCGTGTACTTCTTCATCACGTTGTCGTCCATCAGGCCCTTGGCGCGGAAAAGCGAGAAGCAGCCGGGACTGCAGAGCACGCAGCCGATCATGTGCTCGGTGGCCTTCTGCAGCCAATGGCCGATGGCGTACTCGAACAGCTGGTACCACACCATCGGGCCCGAGCCCACCGGGTGGATGCGGCCACACGCGGCGCCCAGGTTGCGGTTCTTCTTCATCAGATCGACCAGCAGCTTGACGGCGGACGGCTGGAAGTCGATGTCGCCGTCCAGCGTCAGCAGGTAGGTGTTGTCGGCCATGATCTCCTTGCGCTCCACCGAGATGTCCAGCTCCATCAGCCGGTAGCCGAGCAGGTAGTACATGTACATCACCTGGCTCCAGCGCTTGCGGTGCCGGATCAGCATCTTGTTCTTCAGGTGCGCGATCAGCTTCGTCTTGCCGGGCAGCGTCCAGGTGAGCCGACCGCCGTACGGCGTCGGAATCTTGGTGGGCGGCCGCAGCCGGATCGGGATCTGGTGCACGTGCGACGCCGCCTCGTCGATACACTCCACCAGCATGCGGACGAATCGGTTGGCCACCTGCTCGTCCTCGTCCTCGTCCGACATCTCGAAGGCGTCGTCGAAGAAGATGTGCGTCTCGAACTCGTAGTAGTCCTTGTCGCGCACCTTGAGGTACTCCTGTGCCACCTTCATGGCCGACTGATCTTCGTCCATGCGCAGCACCGACTTGAGCATGTCCATCATCTCGTCGCGCGTCTCGTGCCACATGGTGGCGCAGGCGATGATGCGCGTAATGTGGTCAGTGGCGCGCACGTTGGCCGTCTGCGACGAGTCGGTGTGGATGCTGATGGTCTCGTAGTGCTGCGTGCCGTCCGGGTCGTCCGGGTCGGCCGCGCGCGAGTCCGACTCCAGGCGCTCAGGCGCGTCGTCCTGGCGCCGGTTCATGCCCAGCGACTGGTCGATCAGCAGCGAGTTGTACATGGGCGTGACGAACAGCTTCTCGGTGGTGGCCAGCCGCTCGCAGTGCGGCGTCCAGATGTGCAGCGTGATCCACGTCTGGGAGAACAGCCACAGCACCCAGATCCAGACGTGCTGAAAGGCGGGAAGGGGGGGGGGGGGGCGTCAGCGAAGTGTCTTCCCAATAACCGTTGCGATGGGGGGCAGTGCCGAAGTTACGCAACGCACAGCTGACCAGCAGCACCGAAAACGCCTGGCTAGGCTGCCACATTTCACTGCTGAAGATAGTCAATGGGCGCAGGTTATTATCATACCATACAAAGGGCGATGGCTACAACGCTTTCCACACAGCTGACTAAAGACTACATTAGACTGTTTTTACATAATTAAAAAACGTTTCTCATCATAAACTACTTCCAAAATCATGTAAGATAAAGTTTGGAAGGCATTCTCCAATGCAGTGGATCCAATTATGAAATGCATGCCATGTTTGACAGCTATCTCTGTGACATTGAATGCCATTCAAATTATGAGCATGCTTTGCACAGTGGCTGCACCTCGCCAGCAATGAAGTCCTTGATGTAGTCGCCGCGCGGACACTCGAAGAAGAGGTAGCCGGGGATGGTGTCGCGCAGGAAGCAGGCGTCACCGGAGCGAAGGCCGCAGCCCATCAGCAGCAGCGACAGAGTCACCGGGATCGTCAGGTTCACCGGGAACGCGAAGCTGAAGCCCTGGATGCAGATCTTGCACGCAAACTTGCCTGAAATGGGCCGGTGAGAACGCATTTTTGAGTGTAAAGAACGTCGACCGTTTTCCCGGAAACGATTATCGTAGTTATCATTGCTTTCTAATTATCTGCAGCTGTCTGTAGACAATATGTCGGACAGGATCAAGTGCAACATGAAATACAACACCACAGAGCCACTCTTTGGAGATAACAAGATTTGTAGTGCAAACACCAGACACACAGTACTAAGTAAAAAAAAAAACGTCACGATAAGCCCTTGTCAGATACTTCCGAGACTTACCAAATATGTATGCGGAGTAGGCTGCAAATATCTGTATCAAGCACACGTAGATGGCGGTGTTGCCATCCGAGAAGATGGTCTTGGTATCCGTGAAAAGCTTGGCGAAGTCGGCAGTGTCCGTAGCCGTGCCGAGCAGGGCGCGAGAAGTCTGGCGGGTCCACAGAACAGGTCCCTCAACCGTCCGTTACACCGCGGTGCGAGCCGACATCATTTAAGAGTTCTGGTCACTGCCTCAGGACTGTGCGTCATCTGCTTCCGTGATGAGACGTGTATGGAATGAAGCTCTTGCAAACGCAGCTAGATTCTTAAAATTCAACCTTGCCTGTTGTCTAATGCTCAAATGAAAACAACTCACAGCCGTAAGACAATTAAGTTAGCATTTGCGCAGCGGGCTCGTGCTGCAGTCGGTGCTTAGATCAATAGTCACCTACCTCGTTGACAAATATCTTGTGTTGGTTGAAGCTATCTGTAAACTTGGTAAATAAATCTCCTACGTTGTCCAGACGGAGGAACATGAAGAACAGCATGCACGCGAAGAATACTAGTATCTTCCAAAGTGATGCGAACAAGTATACCCAATAGCGCGTCTTCTTCATTTTCTCCTTGATTGTTCCCAGGTACTGAACAATACCTGTCAAAAAAACCAAAGGTCATCTGCTGTGGTCTGTTTACGATGTCGTGCACTCTAGACAATACAAGTGGTTGAGAAACAACGGGAACCACCGTGACAGGCAGAACAAGCATCCTTTCACACATACCTTCATCATTGTACAAATATTGTGCGGTGATTTATGTCGTAAGCAGCTTGTTCTTTTCAAGCAATGTGAAGTCAGGGCTTTGGCCGAACAATCGCGGGCACAACAGACAGCTTTCTGGTACGTCTTGGATGAATGCGATGTCAAATGTTCCTGGCTTCTTAAAAAATGGAGGATTACTTTTCGGACGCGGCTTTGGGATCAAGCCCTTACAAAGCATTGTTTGTTGCAGAGATCCCACTTTCCCACCCAATAAGGGACTTTCGAACGTTAATTTTCTGTCGAAAGATCGCAACATACTTTATGGTACCGCCTCTGATTAACCACTCCCCCCCCCCTTCCCTACTAGCCGCTATCTTATGGGCCCCGTTCGGTCTTCACTGAGCCTGTCCTCACTGTGAAGCCTGTTTTCCGATACCAACTAAAAGCAACCGCAAAAATCGGTCACAACAGCGTAGTCTAGCATGCCAACTAAAAGGAAATTCCCGGAGGAAATCTGTCTTTACCGCCGACATCAGCTGATACCTGGTGTTGTTGGGCTTTGTTGCCCCGTGGCAGCATGGTTCCCGAGTTCAGTTGCCAATTGACCTTTATTGAATTACAGAAGGGCGGTTTTTAAGACAGGAGGCCACATGTTTGCCACGCAGCTGCCAGACAGCCGGTCGTTCACCAGCTGAGCTTCAGGGATGACCGTGCACACAGACATGACTTTGCTAATTCATTCAGATTTGAAAACCTCCCAGAGAATGTCATATCCCCGCATAAGTTCAGCAGTCCCGTGTTAATGGAGCCAGCCGTATGTAAGCAGTCAAGAAGAAATGCATGGCGTTTCTGCTTCTCTATGTACACAGTAAGCTTTCAAGGGCTCGGTGCTCCCTACGCCACGAAAACCACTCACCGATTTTGTTTACCACGAAAACCACTCACCGATTTTTGACTTCCGATCCACGTAGTTCTCCCACCATCCGAGAGATGTCAGCACGACGGCCAGCGGAATGGCCCAGCACGCCTTGGTGTTGCCCTTCTGGTACTCAATGATGGGCCAGACAATGAAGCCGGTGGCCTGGCCCAGGATGGCTGCGATGTCGCACACCGTCTTCAGGAATCGCCTCGACTCCCGGTTGGTGCGCGACAGCATGCCTGCGGATATCGTGGAGCCCGTTGACAGCGTGGTGACGGATGCCTGGAGATTGAGATGAATTCACTGCCTCTCGATTTCTGTGCGGCCAGGAAGTGCGAAGAGCTAATGGACAGTCATGCATCATCATACATTCCATAGGTTGTGAAACAGTGTGTAACAGAAAAGTATACAAAAATAACAAACAGAAAAAGTGTGACTTGTGCTTCTCAGATCAGACAAAAGGCCTGGGACTATTAGTGTTTTCCAGCGTTTGAGAGCTAGCATGTAGACTAAACACGCTTGGTGAGCCCATCACACTTCATCTGTTTAAAGCATTGCAAATATCGGAATAGTTGATAACAAGGCAATATCGCAAATATTGAATATTGCAAATAAGGAACTCACCCACAGCGCTCCCAGTATCACGCACCTGCCAGTCCCAGTACCAAGTACAAATCTCCCCGGGCACCACGTACCGAGCACCCCAGGCACGATGCAGACGCAGTTGGTGAGCATGACGCCCTTGACGGCATCGAGGTCCGGCAGCACGAAGAAGACGAGCAGCGCCAGACCGATCGTATGCAACGTCTCGAACAGCACGACGACCAGGAAGTGGCTGAACTCGGGACGCCGGATCGACTGGCGGCGAACGTCACGCTCAGGGGACTGACGTCACACCCATCAAGGGATGACGTCACACTCGCTGAGGAATGACGTCATGAGAGGCGTCACCGGGGATGCAGCATTCCGAAGCTGCATCCCCAGGTGACTTGTGTCACACTCAGATTTGACTGACGTCCCGTTCAGAGAAATGGCATCACTCTCAGAATCGGCTAACATCACTCTCAGAATTGGTTGACATCACGATCAGAAGAGGCTAACATCACACTCAGATCATTGCTGTCACATTCTCGCACGATGTCGCCTCACCCACGGTTGGCTGCTGTTTCACCCAGAGATGACTGACGTCACGCCCGCAGATAACTGACGCCAATTCTTGATGGACTGAGGTTATATCCTCGTGGGACCGACATTACCCGCAGAAATGACTGACGCCGCACACAGACGACTCTTAAGATACTCAGCAATGACTGACTATCGTTACATTTTCAGATAGCTGTCGTCACAATCAGAGATGACTTTCGTTCCACTCAGAGATGAACGACATCACGCTCAGAAGGCTGACTTTACACTAATAAATAATTGACGTCGCATTTAGGTGCCAGCTGTCCTTTTCCCAGATAAACGTTGTCAACTCTGAGATGAATGTCGTTACACTCAGAGGTGACCGATGACAAACTATGATAGATTATTCTTTGCTCAGAGGGGCGGCGTCCAACAACAACAAAAACTGGCTGATCTGAGGTCACATCAAGAGCATGAGCGAAACTGACGTCACGCTGTCATATGACTGATATCACACTCACAGAGAACAGACAAGACACCCTCAGATGATCGACTTTACTCTTCCGGCGTCGTGGTTGGGCCTCAGATAACACGTAGCAATCAGCTTTGACTGACGCGCGACTTTGAGGGCTGGTGTCACACTTATAGTGGATTAATTTCACACCCAGAGATGACCAGCGTTCCACCCAAAGCACGATGTCCCACTCTTAAAGGACTGAGATCACGGCCACGGAGCGGGTGCAGATTTCACGCTCAGAGGACTGACGTCACCTGCAGATAACTGACGACACTTGGAGCACGTCAGAAGACCTGCGTCTCACGCAGAAAACTGACGGAAGTAACGTCACACTCAGAGGAAGAAAAAAACTGATGTCACGCTTCAAAACCTCCGAGGACAAACGATGTTTACACTGCATTCGAAGAACCGGCGTGACACATGCATGGATGACGTCACAATATGACGTCACAGAGTCCGACCCAGCTTGCGTTACACTCTGAGGATCGACCAGACACTCAGAGGAGTGAAGTCATCTTCTGAGAGGTGTGGCTGCCCGTGTACCTTCAACGTTGACCGAGTCATAACACCAATGAGAAGGGAGGAGCTGACGTCATATTGGGATAAACCACGTCATACTTATGGAATGACGTCATGCTTGGCTGGCTGACATTACTTTAGCAGGACTTACGTCACGTGTGCAGGACTAACCGTACACTTTGAGAGCAGATGGAACTGAAAAACACGCTCACATAGCTGCTGGAGCTAAGTTGCAACACCCGACAACAAAACGAGCGATTGCAGGGACAAAGAAGCCGCTTGCAGTGTGTGCGCGTTGGTCAAAGGCCGTCCTACACGCGTAGTATTTAATATGTTCATGCCACTCCCAAAAATGGTGTTTTGGTCAACTCGGAACAGGTTACAATGTTGGCTACAACTGGATAGTAAGACTGGTAATCACGATAGACGGTTGCCTTTTGGGCTCAGGCTTTGCTGGAACCTTGGCATATGAAACGGTAATGTGTTTCTTCAGCCATGCTGAAAACGCTTAGCAATATCACAATGCGAAGAACCACAACCTCTTGCAAGTCTGTATGTGTTCTCACATTGCAAAAATTTACGCGGTATAAAAGTATCCGACAATGAAACACTACATGTTACCCCGTTCCTATTTGTTGGTTCTGTCTCCCACTCTCCTCGGTTCAAACGGAAACCACCCACAGACCAGCAGAACGCAGGCCTAATTTGCAGTCACTAGCTGTCAGCAAGGCAGCGAACCTCATCTGAGACATGCCCAACGTTCCAAGGTAGCAGATCACACTGACACCATCGAAGCGACGATCCAATGTCCACGTGCTTCGAATGGACACGAGGATTAAGACTGAGCCGATAAGTGGTCCAAGGAACTATTCTAAGCGGGTTTGCTGCGTGCAATACCGCACGGCGAAGTGACTGGTGCTGGTGGACGCCGAATACTAAGCTGTGTTAAATGAAATGTGAAGGTGGTTGGGTCTAGAATGCAGACAGGACGAAGTGATATACTGTAGTCGAAAAGACGCCTTCATCCGACTGGCGGCTGTCGCTTGTAATGCCTAGAGTCGTCAAAAACTTTGATGCCGCATTAACAAAAACGAAACAAAAACGGAATGTGACAACAACGTACGCATTTCAAAATGTCGTTGCATGCATATGGATACCGTTCGGACCAGACTGCAAGTGTTATTTGATTGATCACGGGGCCCAGCCGTGTCTCAACGAGCATTATCGCCTCTTTTGCCCGTTTAAAAACTCGTTTAAATGAACGATTGGGAGCAGCAATTGCTTGTAATGTCGTCAAAACGCGCAACGACAGCAAAGCGAGATTTTAGCTAGTAATTTTCATTTATTTTCGATTCTATGTAGCTTGGCCACAGTTGTGAACGTTACTAACACAACAAGGTTATATGGGTTTTAAACATCTAGTAGATATTTGCCATAAGCTGTCATTATCATCTCTCATAAGCCTTGAACCGACCAAAAGGAACTTGTACAATCTTTACGAACCTATACGTTCTGCTAAAAACCTCTTTACCGACAAAAATCATAGTCGGCCATCGGTCTGCATCTCAACGAAATTCCAACCTCTCCGAACGGAAGTATCGCAACTTTTCCTGTTCTCCTTCATAGAGATGATAATCTACAGAACACACAGACGGAACCATTGGCATTTTGATGCATTGGGTTATCATAAAGATGGTTCATGGCTGCTTTCTTCGAAAAAAATCAGCTCTTGCAGGCTGTCATATTGCTTACCGATGTATCGCCTTTGAGGTCAAGCTGGCTGATACAGTCATTTCGTGGATAGTCACTGAAACCTAAGCAAATTCAACAAGTATTTTAAATGGTAGCGACTAGGACTTAAATCCGCACGCAGGGAACGGGAAAAACAACCCTTCCAAAGATAATTGTTAAGCTTTACTGAACCAATATCGGTAAACAGGTTTGACACCCGAGTTCACACACGGCTTTTTAGGGACCATGTGTGGAGCTGAATTCCCATCTTATTTTTGGAAATATTTGTTATACATTTTTTGTTTTGACGGAAGGCACACACGTAGCGTTTCAAAGGTGCATTGTGTCAGAAGGCCGATACATAGCCGTTCATTGTAAAATGTTTTTTTGTCGATCTCTTGAAACAGAGCCATTCGATATGTTCGATCTCAAAAGAGGATGCATGCGATCTTTTGGAAGTGTCTCCAGGATAAAATTTTCTCGTTCGGAGATAGCCACTATGCATAGAAATTGGGCATGGCAGTGGAAAGCCCATGCGTTCCTCCCCTGGCGGTAATATTTTTAGACCAGTTTGAAACGAATACACTGGCCACCAGCCCATCAAAACCAACTTTCTTAGCTAGATACATCGATGGCTATGCTACAGCATAGACACACGGACAGCGTGCCGTTGAAGAATTTTCAGAGTTCATGAACAATCGGCATCACGATTAAGCTTTTACGATGGAGCGTGCAGGTGACGGAATGGGTCCCATATTTGAATACACCAGTGACGGGTGAAAGGAGGAGCAACCGCACAGTGTTAGAACCGGAGCTCTTTATCAGGCCCACCAACTGTGGTATAACTCTGCACTGTGAATCAGCGCATCCAATTTTCACCAAGCACAGCATAATTTGTACATGTTCTTCAAGGGTGTTAGCAGCTCATCAAATAATGAAAAGCATGAACAAGGAAGAAAAGGAAGAAAGAAAATGAACAAAATATGGGCTTTGCTGTTGGGCAATGTACATTCTCCGCGACTTTTAGGTGGGATGTTGAAGGAGGTAAAACAATCTAGAGCATGTGGGGGATGGGTGGTAGGAAACGGGAACACGCTCTGCCTGACAATAAATTCTTACCACTACTTTACATAGATGAACCCTCGCTTTAGAAAATCAAACATATCGTTTAAAAAATCAGACCTGCGCATACGCATAGCTTGGAAGAACAACAATAAGCTAGGAAAATCTCGAGTGAAACCTAATATCTCGAAGCCTAAGTGATCGGGGGTCAACAGGTGTCATCTTTGCAGGTCTGGGTTTTAAGGGGTTCGCACGCAATAAAACGTGGTTTACAAAATTGAGTGTAAACTGTGCTAAAAAATGGGGGAACATAGTCTAATTAAGCATAGTAAGTCTAGTTAAGTAAGGAAAATTAGTGAGTCCATTCTTGTAAGAAACCGACGCCCATACCTCAAAATACAGGGTTCATCATGGCCGACTATGAGAATGTGATATGTGGCTTGACGTGTGATGCGCTAGCTTAAAATCGTTTACATGTGTGAGTGATGCCTACCGCGTTACGCGCGACGCCTGTCTAGTTGATATTGTCTGCATTTATATGTGATGCGTCATGCGTGATGCCTGTTTGTTTGAAACTGCTTGCATGTTTGAATGACATGTGGTGTGATGGCTTCTTACTTAAAGTCGTTTGCATGCACACGTATTTTCTCGCATTTTATCCATTAGCTACATAAGCACTGTATGGTAGCAATGGCTGAAAACTGTCCCTTGTTCAATCCCCTGAATGTTGGTAAACTGTAAAAGCTGTGGCTCGCTGTAAAAAAACAAAAAACACAAAAAATCGAATGGAATAGCGAGCAGTTTTGAATTTTAATATCGATATTCGTTTCGATAAAGGTAAGTGGCCGAAATACCAATCCATTCATCTCTCCATTCTCTTGGTTACTTCACGAAGAATAAAGCTATTAGTGCTGTCTTATTCACATGCCCTTCCTCTTCGGCTGGTTTTCGATCGCTAACTAGCCATGTTGATCTCACAGAGGATAAGAAGCAGACGACGTCTGGTCATTAGTAGTATATCTTGTGAGGCACTAAAAATTGCAGCGCAGGCGGCAGGGGTGGTGGCTGGACCGTCTCTGATTGGTGTACGGACCGTCTCTGATGTCTGTGCCATCATGTCCGGGCGGCGGTTGGCCCGGCCGCTCCGACTTCTGACCCAACGCTCCGAGACAACGATGGCCGAGGCGCACTGCATGGCCGTGCACAGCAGCCCTGGGTAGCGGGTAATCCCCGTAACATGATGTATGGAGCATTGGGTGTGACGTTACAGTGAGGCATTACCAGCTCTTACACAACAAAGACGTTGCAATTCATGTTCTTGTCAACAAAAACGTTTGTTATTAAGGCAGACAATTTGCTTCACCATAAACCCCAAAGACTTCACTTGTTTTCAACCAAATAAGACGAGCATAATTACGCATGCAGCATCAAAACACTGCCATACCTGCGTCCCGTTATGTTAATGCACTGTGAGAGCGAAGTGGGGCATTCCGCCCACTCTTCGCACGAGGCGTGAGATCACACTCGCACTTCGCACGAAGGTCAGGATGAAACACCGCGTGATGCGTCTTCACGCGGCCGCCGCCCGCCGCGCCCACACTACAGCTACGGCGACCACCTCACCTTGAAGATGCACATCCGGGTGGACCGTATCCAGGTGCCGGCCTCGGGGGTGATGAAGCAGAAGAAGAGGCACCATACCCAGGCCACCTTCTCGACGTCGGGCAGCTCCACCCGCCACGTCTTGTCCAGACCTGCCAACCACATCGGTCAGTGAACGGAGCACCATCGGTGGCGAGACTCCCAGCCGTACTCCAAGCACTATCGCACGAACGGAGCACTTTCGGTGGCGAGACGTCCAGCTGTACTCCAAGCACTATCGCACGAACGGAGCACCATCGGTGGCGAGACGCCGAGCCGTACTCCAAGCACTATCGCACGAACGGAGCACCATCAGTGGCGAGACGCCGAGCCGTGTTCCAAGCACTATCGCACGAACGGAGCACTTTCGGTGGCGAGACGCCCAGCCGTATATCGAGGATTTCATACGAATGGAACACTATCGAACACACGATCACGAACACGGCGGTTGCAAGGAAAGCCATGTAAGCGACAGGACAGCACGGCAGCTGGCAAGCTACAGCACGGTGAGATATGTGATGGGGCATTGTGCGGAATGAATCGACAAGTAGCATTTAGCATCACACAACCCTTGGTGGCTCGCCTGGCAGACACTACCAGGGTAGCAGCCTGACCTTCCTTCGGTCGCTTCAAATAGACCGATTGTCTGACGTCATTTCAAGGCTGTTTAGCGGGTAGCGTTTAACACGAGTACCGCGCATATCTGGTCACCACCAGGAGTTTTTCCTAGCCTCTGCCGGCCCGTCTACGAGCCGTCATAGCGCTGCCCGGTACGCCAATAAGCGGTGCGGTCTGCTTGTTTTTGTGCTGAGTCGCGACTGGTTTCTAAACCGACGCAAAAACCCGGCGGAGCCCTGTCGCGTTGCGTGTCAAGCCCTCCGGCGCCCAGCGCGGGGCGCCGGGTCATGTCAGGGCCGGCGCTCGTGTCGCTAATGAGCGGCGTGTCGCGGCCACACCCGCTTCACTTTCGCTGGCTGGGTCACACGACGGGGCCGGCGGCGGGCTGACCCCTGACCTCGACCGCCGCCGCCGCGACCGCCGCCGCCGCGATCGCCGCCGCCGCCGCCGCCTGGGAAGAGAAACTGGCGGCGGGCGCGCTCAGGCGCGACCGCTGCCACCATTCCGGACCGGCGGACGGCAGCGACGGCAGCGGGCAGCGGGGCGTCAGCTGGCGCGGCCGAGCTGGGCCGCCGGCCGGACAGACGCGCTCGGCTGCGGTACCGGCTGTGGTCAGCTATGAGACGCTGACCGGTACAGCAGTAGCCCGGTGCCCTCACGAGCAGTTTGATGGCTGTGGGTTGTTTTCACGGCGCGGAACGTCTGTGACGTTATTACTATAGTCTTTTGGCATGATATGAGCTATACTGTCGATGAAGACAAACGGAGCCGAAGGGGATTGATTCTGGTAGAGCTGACTGGCCGACCCAAGTTTAGAACGCATCGCAGATAAGGTCATGCTACCGAAACGCACACAATAGTTTCACTTTCTATTGAATCGACGCGTAATGTTGTGGCGCTGAATGGGTTACCACCAAGCAGTAAAACGTCCCGAAAAACAACCGCACCGTGACCCCGTAATCATGGGGTGTTTTGTAGCGGCTGGTAAGGGATACTGGCTCGTAAAACAGCGTCCAAGCCGAATACTAATAGAACCGTTACAAGAAATGGAAGCCTGTTCCGGTGAAAAGCTCCTGTATTTGCTCCAAAGTATAAGTTGCGGTCCCTGGGTGACCTAGAGCCTGAGTTGCATCAGTTACTGTGCATGCCCTCCATGCAGAGTCTGGCCTGTACAAACCCATTAAAAAACAATAAAGGAACGAACCCAGCACTAATTTCTATCATCCGACGAGGTAAACCTTGAGGCGTAAGAATGACACAGTTCAACCGATGCCTTTGAGGCATACTTTTCAGAGAATATTTCTTCGTCTGACCGACTCCCGGGCGCACCCCTGCCGCCAGGTGCGGCGACATGGGAGCGATGTCCGCCCGCTATCACCACCACCCACCCCACACCGCCGCCCTGCGTTGGGACGGGCCCAAACAGCAGATGAGGGGCGATGTCCGCCCCGCTATCACCACCACCCACCCCACACCGCCGCCCTGCGTCGGGACGGGCCCAAACAGCAGATGAAAGTCGATCGGCCGACCTTGGCCGGCCCTCCCACGCACATTCGGCAGGCGCGGGACCGAGCGCGTGTGGCCGGCCATGGCAGCGACCAGCTTGGAAGTGGACCCCAGATGGCGCCAGAGTAGCCCCAAGGTCCCCGTGCAGCTGTCATGCACTCTGTAAGCACCACGACAGCGTGAGTGACTCTGGATGAGCCTGCCGGCGGGAAGTGTGACGGCTCGGCAGCGCCGGCCATGTCGGGGTCCGGGCACGAGCGGGCTGCGTGACCGACACTGCCGCCGATGACACGCCTGCTGCTATCACCACCCAAACAGCGTGGTTGGATTTAGATAGCGATCTCTGACCCTTGTGGGCGTCACGTGACACAGCCATACCTGGAATGTTTGAATAGGGATGACTCAGCGCCCCAAACTGGCAAGCTTGCTGCGACTGACGGTATGAGGACATCACTCCCTACCATACCTCAGTCCATGGTTGTCCTATTAAGTCCATGGTAAAAGTCATGGCAAAGTCCTAAAATCCGAAGTCCGTCTGGTAGACAACACACCAATTAAATTGGCTTGCTCAAAATGTCCCCAATAGCAGCATGGGGTGATACCCTTACGAGGTACTGCTTCACATTACCATGAACTTACCAATAAGTGCAACCGATTTCCTCTGGACCTTTTTTGCATGCGCTTCAGGAATAAGTGAAAGGATGACGATACTGACCTGATGCTCTTTAGTTTGTAAAAACGGAGACGTTATCAGCGATAAGAAAAGAGCTCAGCCATGTAGGTTTTTATGATCACACAGTCTGCGCTGTTGTCCACTGCGTTTCCCAGGAGCAAGGAAGTAAAGAGAAAGCCAGGCACGCATGGAGGGTAGTCAGGTACGCGCGATCGTAAGGCTTCTGAAGTTGGCAGTTAATTGCGAGGGCATGGATTTCGGTGAAAGTTTCAGGGAGCAATGAGCAAGGACGCTAGTTCTAATTTAGGTGGGGAGGGAAGCTATGCTGTACAGATGTCTCAAGCCCTGGCATAAGAGTGGATGCAGCAACAGTGCGTTAAGACCATTGCTGGGCTTATTCATGTGCTTACACGCCAAAAGTCCATGGCCTTTCCCTTACCTATCCGTTTGTTGCAGTACTCCAGCGACTTGTGCTGTTTGAGCTGCGAAGTCATGAAGAGCGTGGTGCCCTTGGCGATGACGCCGGACGCCAGCACGATGCCGAAGGTGATGATGTAGACGATGACCTTGACAATCTTGATGGTGATGTCGAGGCAGCGCTGGTCGGCGGCCGAGCCGGAGTCGTTGTCGGGCGGGATGACGCGGAACACGTCCCACTTCTTCAGCTCGGGCATCACGCTGCGCCGGCTGCGGCAGGTCAGTGGAGGCAGCGTCAGCTCGGGGGCGGCGACAATCCGGTCATCTCAGCGTCACGACCACAGGCCACCTGGCGGATCGATGCGGTGGCATTTGCAGCATTCGGGGTCAATGGATTTGTGCTTTGAAATCATGTTGATGCATGTTAACGCAATCATGGTTAGCGGTGCGTTTCTAGCCTGTTACAGCTTTGTCTGTCGTCCATAACTTCAGCTTGAATCAGCTTAAACGCATGAATACTGGATTCAACCCTGACTCCTGGCGTAACATGAGTCTGGTCGCCTGGTACATTAGTGTGCATACCACAGTGTACCGGGGCGAAATGCGTGTGCCCCCGGCCCAGGACAGCGCTACATTCCGTGGCCCTGAGCCATGCGCTATTCCCAAAGTCAATTTGGAGGCCTGGCCGAGATCAAAGTGGGGGGTGTGGCGCAACAGCGCGTCGAAATGACTCAGACCCAGAGGTCGTGATCACCGCTGGAAGGCAGAGACGACTGGTAATTCTGATCGACATCGCGTCAGATCCGGTCCCGAGACGGACCTGACAGCAGCGCGGCTCGTATAACGCATATCCGAGGTACGATCTGCACGCGATCGAGCCTTGTCACGTGCCTTCAGACCGGACTGGATTTCACAGGGGCTATCTGGTCCGGATCTGACCCGGCGGGTCCGGATCTGGTCCGGAAAAGTCTGGCGTTTACACATCTGTATGTGGCCGGATGCGGACCACACCTGACTGCGTATGCGGAAATGACGCTATCCTGGAATCAGGCCTGATCTCTCCCCCACCGGTCACGAACCGGACCGATTACAACCCCGCTCGGGCGCCGACCGGCTGGCCTTGGACAATTACGTCTTACTACGGCCCGAGTGGAGCCGGCACATGCCACCGGCAGGGCAGGGCGTCGTGTCGGGAAGCAGACCCCGCACTGCTCGGGACGTGGCGATGCAGCAGACCCCGCCCGGGACGTCGCGAGACAGCAGACCCCCCCCCCCCCTACTTAGGACGAGCGGGACAGCGCGCCCTGCCCCAGACGTGGCAGGACAGCAGGCCTCCGTCCAGGACTGGCAGGACAGCGGACCCTGCCCCAGACGTGGCAGGACAGCAGACCTCCGCCTAGAACTGGCAGGACAGCGGACCCTGCCTCAGACGTGGCAGGACAGCAGACCTCTGTCCAAGACGGGCTGGACAGCAGGCCCCGCCCGGGACGTGGCAGTACAGCAGACCTCTGTCCAGGACGGGCTGGACAGCAGGCCCTGTCCGGGACGTGGCAGGACAGATGGGACATCCCTGCAGCGGCGCGGTTGATATTGCGGGACAGACAGGCACATCCAAGCATGGGGGAGGGAGGGGGGGGGGGGGGTGAAGGACATTATGGGATGGACAGGCCATGCACCAGGAGGCACAACAAAGGAACGTTTAATACCGCTGTGGTCTGTGACACTAACATTAACGGGATACGTTAGCATTAGGCTCACTTGGGCGCCGGTATGCCACGAACAGTTATTGTACCGATTTTCTATAACGATGAGAACATGGCAGTCAGCCAGGGCGGCGGGCAAGCACCGCATCAGTGGTCAATAATGAGCTGGGACATCCACCAGACGCGTTCAGTACCGCATGAGAAAGATGCATCGGTAAATCAATAATACATCTCAATACTCAATACATCTCTTCAACGTGAGCGAGTTCAGCTCAGCTGGAGGTGTATCGTACCTTAGATCTGACCTCAACCTGGTTGTGTGTTCCTCCGACACAGCCCAAGTTTATTGACTGCCGTACCGCGATCAGCGATCGCTGTACCGCGATCAGTGATCACAGGACCAGCCCGACTGAACGACATATTCCCAGCCTCCGAAACATCCGCCATTCTAGCAGTAATGGTTAGCGTCGACCACCATGCTACCGTCCACCAATCCGGCCGTTTCAAACACCCTCGGCAGGACGTGAGGGGATCGCGTGTCTCCCCCCCCCCCCCCACCCCCTGCCTGTGAGCGTCAGGGTGGACACTAAGAGACCCCACCCGGCTGGCCGCTGCCAGGACGGAGGCATTCCCAATGGGCTTTCCCACGTCCGCAGCTCCAAAAGAGCGCGCCCTCTAAAAATCGACTTCATCGCGTAGATCTCTGTACAGAGCACATGGCAGGGGCGCGGAACGTTTGGCAGGATTTACCGCTGTGAATGGGTGTGTTCGTAGGGCGTGGTGCAGGGTTTACCACTGCCTTTGGAGCCTTGCGTGAGCTCTCACGTTGAGGTCAGCGGTCTTAACACACAGAGAACAAACAAGACAGTCAGCTCGGATCACAGGGCGATAGCCTGGCGCAGGCCGAGTGGAAAGTCAAGACAGCCCCGGCTGTGGTGAGGCGGGACGGCAATCGAAGGGAAAGATCTGCCTCTCACCGCTCTTCGATTTAACACATCTATAATATAATATATATATATATATATATAATATATAGATATATATATAATATATAATATTCTCTCTCTCCTCTCTCCTCCTTCCTCTCTCTCTCCTCTCTCTCTTCTCTCTCTCTCTCATATATATATATATATATATATATATATATATATATATATATCTTATATAATATATAATATATAATATATATATATATATAACGTTGACTAGAATACCTTATATTTCAATATCCTGAAGTTTTGAGCCTCGGCAGCAAAACGGTGTTGTAGAATGATAAGTGTCGGATGATAACAACCGTCTATAGTAGAATGGCAAGCTCACGCTGCGCTTGCAAATAAACAAACGGCAAGCATGAAGACAAAACGGCTTTCCCAAAAGCACGGCGCTCAGTGTGATTCAGGCTGATTGAGCCCCCGTGAATTGTCTACTACGGCGGCACGAGTCAGCTCTCGCCGTGCACGTTCGATGGCTAGCCGGGGCCGGTGGCCAACCGAGTGTGACAAACGCGCAAGTCGACCTAGATACCCGGGTACACACAGACATACAGCACACACACACACACACACACAGACACACAGACACACAGACACACACACACACACACACACACACACACACACACACACACACACACACACACACACACACACACACACACACACAACACACCACACACACACACCACACACACACACACACACACACACACACACACACACACACACACACACACATACACACACGCTCAGTC